AGGACTGCAACTGGTCAGTCTCTAATTGGCATATGTGCATACTGTGCGTATTGCCTCGATATACCTTAATTCACAAGCATGGTAAGCAGAGATGGATAGTGGCTAGCAGTGGAATCTAGGACGCGCGTTTCGTCCTATTTGGGACTCGTCAGCTGGATGTACCTGCATCTCAGAGTTGATGTTCACTCTGGGACTCGAACCCAGTACCCTCGCTTCAAACGCCATCGCGTTATAGGACGTTATAGGACGAAACGCGCGTCCTGGATTCCACTGCTAGCCACTATCCATCTCTGCTTACCATAAATGCAAAACATTTATACATTTATAATAAGAAATATCTCCATGAATAATATTATTCGAATACTTGATGGAACCTAAATAGAATTAAGTGATTTTAAATTCAAAGCTATCTTATGTATTATAAGCAAAGATGGATAGTGGCTAGCAGTGAAATTCAGTTTGACACACGTTTCATCCTATTTGAAGCTCGTCAGCCGGATGTACCTGCATCTCAGAGTTAATGTTCACTCTGGGACTCGAACCCAGTATGGACGAAACGCGCTTTATCCTGGATTCCACTGCTAGCCACTATCCATCTTTGCTTATAATGCTTGTGAATTAAGGCCATACGCACAATATGCACATATGGTCAATAAGAGACTGATCAGTTGCAGTCTTAAACATCAATGGGAAGATTCAAACAAACAATACTAAGTGAATTTATCTAATGTATTGTAGGGCCAGTGAGTGATAGCTAAACAATATTCAACTTTAAAGTAAATAGTGTAATAAGAAGACGTAGATTATCAGAACTATGTGATGATATATTAGCGCAATACATTTTGGACAATTTGATCACATGTAATATACTTATTAATAAGATTCATATACAACAATTAAGGGTCAATCAGACTGGAAACGGAGGGGGAGTTTAGTGGGGACAAGGCTATTAATAATAATATGAAAACTAATCACTCTGGATCGATGGGAAGATCCAAACAAACAATACTAAGTGAATTCAAACTTCACCCCATCGCACAAGCAAGTGGCTATCAGGACTCAGTGGCCGAGCGGATAACGCGATGGCGTTTGAAGCGAGGGTACTGGGTTCGAGTCCCAGAGTGAACATCAACTCTGAGATGCAGGTACATCCAGCTGACGAGTCCCAAATAGGACGAAACGCGCGTCCTGGATTCCACTGCTAGCCACTATCCATCTCTGCTTACTCTGGATAATAAGCTAAAACGACCAGGGTAGGGTTATGGTGAGAACAATCCGTTTTTGAATTCACAAAGGGGAGTTGCATTTTCGTATGGCTAAGGCTTCAATATACCTTATTATGCACGCTTTAACAGTTTTATACAACACCACAAAAGCCAAGTTAAGATCAATCTTATGGCCTGTTTTGATTATATGCTTGGCAATAAAGGATGATGGATGTTTATCCTCTACTCTTATTGGGTCATTTGATTCTATTTGTTTCTGCAACCATTTTGATACATGTCCGTACACTTTAATTTTCAGATCACCATTACTCCTCCCTATGTATGTGTAACCACACGCACATATTTAAATTGGTAAACACAATGGAATATGACACAATCGTTTTCGTGTCTTTTAGGTTTTGGATGAAGCATGAATCTCGTTCTATCTTTTATAATGACCTTCGCTACACAATACGTCTTGTTAATGACTGGTTTAAGCCTTTGTTTCAATAAAAGGCTGTTTGAATCACCTCTAAATGGTAAGGTGATGTAGACAGGCTTAAGTAGATAACCATTCCCCAATAATGTCTTGTTTAACAACTTAACATCGTCATCAATAGCGTCGTTTGTGCAAATACGATCGAGCCTGTTAAATAGACCTTACGAAACCCCGTTTGCATTGCACAGGGCAATAACTATAGTAACTAAGGTATTGGCCCGTCCATATTAGAGTAAGTTAATACAATATATCTGTCCATGCGAATTGAATATACCTTTCATCATCATTTGTCATCGTTCTTGAATGAAGTTGATATGGTATCTTAAATCTCAACCCATTTGTTTACTTATGTTCAAGAATTAAAAACTATCATGAAGATAAGATTGTTGGAGTGAAGCAGAAAATTCATTTAGAAAAAACCAAAAAAATGGTTATGAAAACTCTGAGAAATATCTTATCCAATCAGGATTCAATAGAAGTTTTGCCAGAAACATCTAGAAAGTCAAAATTTACATGTCGAGTTTCAGATTCGATGATTACTTATATTTTTACGAATGTTTAGTAGCGTTCCATAATTTCACAGAAACTCAAGGTCATCTAAAATACTATAAATACCCTAGATTTCCTGTACATAAACGAACCATGGAATAAAGCGTTTCTTCCATATTTTCCACCCTCTCTTTCTTGTTCAAATTGCTGTGTAGATTTAACCTGTGGGTTACTAGACTTACTTACTTACTAACGCCTGTTACTCCCAATGGAGCATAGGCCGTCGACCAGCATTCTCCAAATCACTCTGTCCTGAGCCTTCCTTTCTAATTCAATCCATTTTTCGTTCATTCTTCTCATGTCTCTATTTGTCGGCGTAATGTGTTCTTTAATCTTGGGACTGGCAGTAGCCCCCAGAGGAGCTACAGGCGGAGTTGTGGGCTACTAGAAAGCTTAGGTAACCGAATCTAACATTCGATTAAAAGACTTATCAAAGACAATTTTCACGAATAAACACTCAATAATATAATCGTTTTTTATTTTAAAAATGATCTATTTACATAAAGAATCAATTATATTACATTCATAAAATAAGAAATTAAAAAAAGATGATAAAAGAAGATTAATAATTGAATTCATGAGGGAATTAAAGCTAGATTATCATCAAAAAAAAACCTGGAAGCATTTATTTCTGTTTCATCCTTAACTAGGTACTCCTCAACAATATGTATCCACAATCCCATTCGCCGGTTTCAAACCCAAAACTGATTGTATATAAGGATATAGTATAGGAAGAAAGACAAATATGAAGCCATTTTAATCTCAATATTTAAGGGAAAACTCCGCCTGTAGCTCTTCTACAGTTACTGCCGGTCCCAAGCCCGGGTAAAGGAAGAGGGTTAGACATGGGATTAGCGACCCCATCCCGTAGAAAAGCTAACTCGCTTAAAAAAACGCTAACCAGAAAAAAAACTTAATTTAAGGGAAGATAAAGAGTGTATACACTTGAGCCACTCGATCTCTTTCTTGAACGTTTCACTTCTAGTCGACTAAGCTGACACTAACCAATCCGAAGCTTCTAGGTTCAAACCCTTCAAGAATACGATCATGGATACGCACTATTGAATAGTTCCACAACAGAAAGAAATAGCTCTCTAATGCTTGTAGGTTTTCAATAATGATCTAACTTTAATCGATTCAATTATTATAAATTATTACAAACTCTTTGCTGATAAAAAAAAGATCAATCAAATAATAATATGATATTAGTTAATATAAAGTATTGTGAATTGAAGTAGTATGATTAGTATTACTATTGTTATTATTATTAGTAGTAGTCGTAGCAATAGTTGTAGTAGTAGTAGTAGTAGTAACAACAGTAGCAGCAATAATAGTAGTAGTGACAGTGTAGTAGTTTTAGTAGTTGTTGTTGTAGTATGATTAGTATTACTATTATTATTGTTGTGATTAGTATTATTACTATGATTACCATAATAATAATATTATTATTAGTAGTAGTAGTATGATTAGCATTACTGTTATTATTATTAGTCGTAGTAGAAGTTATTGTTGTTGTGGTAGTATGACTAGTATTACTATTATTATTAGTATTATGATTAGTATTATTATTATTATTATTAGTAGTATGATTAGTATTAGTATTATTATTGTTATATCTTGTAACCGAGTGGATGCCTAGTTAATGTGTGACTTGATGAGACCGCCAATCAGGTAGCAGCAAATTATCGATTGGAACAGTGACACACGAAAGCGTACGAACAGTCTTGAGCGCTAACCGGTTCTACGATCTGTCTAACCCAGCCAGTTAAGTCCAAAACACCAATAACAGCCTCTGCAATATGAATCATTATTCACAAACATACTGGGTTTATATACCAACCGAACAGACCACATCGTACCAATAAAATAGAAAATAACATTTGTACATTATTTTGCCAAATGTGGCTGTGAATAAGGGGGGAAGGGAGGAAAGTAATCAATAAACTGATGCTAACTCAAGAATCGTATAATAATAATAATAATAGTTCAAAGGTCAAAATAAAGCTAATGATAAAAAGAAATACGAATATAAATAGTTTAGTTACTTAACAATTATACAATAGGAAATATACGTATCATATTGGTTCATGGACAGTCTATAAAAGGTACCATTCATACTTCTCTTCAGGATAGAGTAATTATTATGATTGTTACTATTATTATTATTGGTAGTAGTAGTAGTAGTATCATTAGTATTACTGTTACTTTTATTATTATTATTATTAGTAATAGTATGATTGTTATTATTATTAATAGTAGTAGTATGATTATTGTTATTATTATTACTAGTAGCAGTGATAGTAGTAATATTATCATTACTATTATGATTACTACATTATTATTATTATTATTATTATTAGTAGTAGTAGTAGCAGTATGATTATTATTATTAAAATAGTAATAATAGTAGTAGCAGTATGATTAGTATTAGTATTATCATTACTATTATTATTAGTAGTAGTATGATTAGTATTATTATTATAATATTATTATTATTATTATTAGCAGTAGTAGTATTAGTAATAGTATGATTAGTATTATGATTATTATTAGTAGTAATAGTATGATTAGTATTATTATTATGATTACTATTATTATATTATTATCATTATATTAGTATTATTATTATTAGCAGTAGTAGTATTAGTAATAGTATGATTAGTATTATTATTACTATTATTATTATAATATTATTATTATTATTATTAGTGGTAGTATGATTATTATTATTATTATTATTATTATTATTATTGATAATAAAGTATTAAAACTTGATTATTTACTAATAATTCATTATTGAATTGTTTTTTATTATAATAAATATTTTTTGAATCATAAATTATTTTTATATTATTTGATATACTACTACTACTACTACTACTTAAATCATAAAATATTGATTGAAATTTTATTATCGTATTTAATGTTTGAAAATTTACAATAAAATAAATACGATGAAATGGTTGTTTATTATATAAACGATATATAATAAATAAATTATAATTATTATTAATTTTAATTAAATTATTAAATTTAATTGGTGTATTTAATAATGAATTATAATATAATTTAGAAATAAATAATTTCCAATTAAATAAACGTTGTTTACCATTTAATGGTAGATTTAAATTAATTGGCCAATAAGTTGTATAATCTAAATAATTATCATATGACCATTTTATAAGTTGTTCATTACCATTCATCTATAATAGAAATAAAAATTTAAGAGAAGTAGTATTATACTACTAATAAATGTAGATTACAAATATAATAATAGTAGTGTAGTTTAATGTGGTCTACTTATGTCCATAAAAATAGTATATAGCGATGGTCAGACCAAATAGTCTACACCTTCCAACATAGCTTAGTTCAGGAAGAATATCAACCTAATTATAATAGATGAAGAAATTCTAGAAGATGTGAGAAGAAAGTATCATTGATGAATAAGGAAGATCTAAGTCAGTAAGTCAGCTACAATGTAGGACCAGGCACATATATGCATCGCTAAAAGTTGCAATACATCATTAGTACAACAAGATAAACATCAAATTCATTGAAGTAGTTAATTTAGTGGTGGTAATATATAAAAGGAAGGTTGTATATAAGAATATAGTACAGGAAGGAAGACAGATATAAAGCAATTTCAATCTCACGGTTTACGGGAAGACAAAGAGTGTATACACCTACGCTATTGTGATTGATTCGGAGCCATGTCACCCATAGTCTCCAACCATTGGTTATAATTGTCATACGGACCCTAACCAACTAGTTTGTATCTACCAACATGGCTCAGACAAGAAGTTAGTCACTTCAAGCTCTGATACCACGTCTTGGTTTGGCCTTCCCTGACTCTCTTCCAACCATTGCCAATACTAGTCAGCATAGCGCGTCATGATAATCGGTGTTCAGGCAGATGTATAGGTAAGATTGGTAAAGCGATGACCACATCCCTATAATTGAAGAACATATGGAACTCAGAACAATTTTCAAATAATTTCCAAGTGAGAATCTTCAATATAAACGTCAAGACAGTTCTACTGTATGTAGCTGAAATGTGAAGAACTACTACAATCATCGTCAAGAAGGTACAAGTATTTATAAATATTAGTCTTTGAAAAATACTCAACATTCACTCGCTGGATACCATCAGCAATATCTTACTGTGGGAGAGGAAAAAAATAGCTCGCTGAAGAGGAAATTAAGAGAAGATGTTAGAAGTGGATTGGACGTATATTGAGGAGATCATCAAACTGCATCACGAGGCAAGCCCTAACTTGTAATACGGAAGGGAAGTGGAAAAGAGAAAGGCCAAAGAACAAATTACGTCGATTAACAGAAGCAGATATGAAAAGGATGGATAGCAACTGGAAAGGATTACTCAGGACAGGGTTGGATGGAGAGTGCTGGTAGGCGGCCTATGCTTCTCTACGGGGGGTGAAAGGGTTGAGTTAGTAAGTTACATCAAAGTTTGTGTTGTATATAAATAAAATTACAGGAGAATATACTTGATCGTTAAATTTCTCCATATACATTCACCTAAATCATTTCTAATATGAACAACAAACAAAAACGGTATTTTGAATCTGAGCGTCCATTATTTTCACGTGTGGTTATTTTTATCATTGATGAACACATATTCCACATGTTTGATAAAGTCATGTTCTGTCCGGCGCTTTAACCAGGTTGGTGGATATAGAGAATTCAGCTCTGATTCCAAACCAATCATACACGAGGGCCTCAGAATCCTGAAGGAACAAATGGAGTGTAAACCTATTGTTGATCACAGTCTACCATGAGACTGCATCTCCAGAAGTTGCTCCACTGCATGGTGGATTAGACTTTTAGGTCGAAGGCTCCAATTGTGGTGCCCTAAGAAAACTACATGATTCGGTATGGGCACCCGAGCAGTATCATAGCCATCACATAAATCAAATGAGATTTGTGTAGCGCACATATATCTGGTGCCCCCTTGTACCAATATTTACGTGTTTAAATATATAAATAAAGCGTAATGATATAAAGAAGAATATCGATAAAACATTTAAACAAATGTTTCGAGGTCTACTAGAGATTTTTGTAACAACTAAACTGTAATGAATAAACAACCATTAGATTACTATTCATAAGTATGAGTCGATTGAAGCTAGATTATCATGGAAAACCTGGAAGCACTGGACGGCTGTTTCGTCCTATTGTGGGACTCCTCAGCTATAATATCCACAAAACCCCTTCTGATAAAAATCAAATGTATTTGATTAAAAAATTACAAAATCTCTTGTTAAAATCTGAGAATTATACGGTAGACAGCTCATTGGCAAAATGCCAATCAATAGTCTCAAACTCCATTGTTTCTTCTTTTCCATACCAATCATTCTTTATTCTCATTCTCTTTTCTTCAATCTTCTTAATCTTCTGAGACTCCAGACATGTCACTGTCGATTGATGATACATACTACTTATATCTGTCGATATCAGTAGCACATACCACACTCGTCCTCACTTTGAAGCAGTCATTCTTGCAGTGGTTCTGCTCGTTGTGCTACTTTCTTCTTTTCTGTAGCCTGTACCACACCCTCTGTCAAAATGTCGAGTCTGCGGCGCGTTGACCTTCATAGCTCCGTCGACCTGCTGGGCCATCAAAGTCCGACGTATACCCTGCACCCGGGACCTTCGACGCCTGCGCTCCAGCGACCTGCTTAGTCATCGAAAGCCGATATCCATCTAGTGGTCGCATGTCCCACGCTCTTTTCTGTTGACAGAATCCCCATTTTGCCAATGAAGTATTTACCGTATAGTTCTCAGATTTTACCAAGATATTCTGTACTTTTGTATTTAAATACATTCGATTGTCCCAACTTGTGTTTTCGTTCACTACAGTATATCTTAGTCTTTGACCAAATGTTACTTCATTATTTTATTCCAATACACCAAGTTTAACTTGTAATACATCAAGAAAATCCATTCACAAACAATATTTTCACATGATTGTTGTGGACATAAAACTTGCTCACTATGCTTATTGTTATTTGACACTCGTCAAAAAAGCACCACTGCAGTATTAAGGAAGCTGATATTTTTCGGATGACTTCAAAACAGAACTAGAAGCCTTCAGCAATGGGTAGTGAATAATTTCATAGTTATGTAATCCTGTAGTACTGATGAAATTCTACTAATCATTGCAAACGTCTCATTTCCAGTTCGAAAGCTCATCAGTTATGGCATCAGAATATAAATCTGCTTGACTCGCAGTTTGAATCAAATAGTAAATATCGGTTCCATCAAGGTTGTAATACTACATTGTCAGTAGAGTCAGTCAGTCAGTCACAACGTAGAACTTCGTACGTAAGTACATCAGTTCGAGTTGCCATACCACATTAGCACAGAGATGAAGTTGTCGATTCAAATACCATAGTGGTAGAAGTAGTAACAGTATAAGCAATAATGTGAAAGATTAGAGTTTGAAAATGTTATTTAAGGAGCATAATCCGGTGAAATAAATTTGGAAAGAGAAAAAAGACAGAGACATGGAGAATTCAGAAGAATAGAATTTGTCAGAACACAAAGAGTGGATGCACTTTCGACATTGCAAACGATTTTGAGTCATGTCATTCAAGGTCTCTAACCATCAGTTGCTATTATCTCGCGAATCCCAACCAGGTAGTCTACACCTACCAACATGGCCCAGTCCAATTGACATTGACTTTATGGATTTGTGCCACGCTTTGCTCTGGCCTCCCCTTGCTTTCTTTCAACCTACTCCTACATCATAAAACATTGCACGTCGAGACAGTCGGTGGTTGGACATACGTAACACGTGTCCCAGCCATTTCAACTGATCAAGTTTCACTACTTCATCAATCGATTTGCCATCATTACCTAGTACCCGTTTCCTAACAACTGCATTACTTACCCGGTGGTCCCAGGATATACGAGCAATGCTTCGAAGAAACCTATGATCGAACACTAGTGGCCTACGAATATCCTCTACTCTCAACGGCCATGTTTCACTGCCATAAAGTAGGACGGAACGAACTGCTGCACAGTAAACCCGTCCTTATGTTGTTAGACGGATATCTCGTCTACGCCATAAATGGGGCAAGTTGGCGAAAGCTAGACGAGCCTTCTGTATCCGTGCTGAGATTTCGTCACACACCAGACCACAAGGGCTGATGAGACTCCCAAGATAAGTAAAGTGGTCTACATGCTCAACTACTTCACTCCCTATCATTAGTTCAGGTGTCGCTGCTACCCAATCATGAAGTAACATTTTGTATTTCGAGGGAGGGAATCGCATCCCGAAGATGCCTGCATAGTTGCTTATAGTGGTCAGAAGACTTTATTTTGTCAGTATCCTCACCGAATAAAACTATGTCGTCGGCGTATTTTAAGTCAACAAGTGAACCTCCTGGTAAAAGTTCAACTCCAGGAGATTGAGATGATGAAAGTGTTATCTGGAAAAGCATGTCAACGAAAAAGTTAGACAAGAATGGGGAGAGTGGACAGCCCTGACGAACACCAATTGAGGTTACCAATTCTGATGACAGTTCGCCATAGGCTCTAACTCAACCAGTTGTTTTCGAGTAGAGAGCCTTTATGAGGTTAATGTACTTCTTTGGCACTCCTTTCAGTGACAAACACTACCACAGAATTTCAGGGTCAACGGAGTCAAATGCCGCCTTAAATTCAAGAGTACAACTGGCACGACATTTTACTCTATGATTTCCTGCTGAATACTCCTGTGAGATGTCATAACGTTATCCACTCGAAATTAAGTCACTTAAGCTAGCAGTCACAGAACATTGACCATCCTATGTTCTTATTCCCTGTAAAATCCAAAAACAAAAAAACTTACTATATCAACTTCTTGTCCAGCTAACATTAAATAACTGCCTGGTAGAAAATAGGCTAATTTTTGAATGGTTTCAAAATCTTTATTATCTTCACTTAATTGTCGTACCAACCATATTGGACTACATTTTCTTAATTGTGTATTATTCATAGCTTTATAGAAAAAAAATAGTGAGGAAAAAAAATAAATTAAAAAGAAAAAAAGGTAAATTGTAATAAATTACTACTAATGACAAGAAACTTATTATTAAAAACCAACGTGCCTCTGAATGCCCTGGTACAGCCGACAGTGGAGAGAGTCCGCTCTCCCTATTCATTGCCTTCTCTTGGCATTACTGTTGTTTACGAAATTGAGAAGACGAAAAGCGAATGACTGACGCTTTAAACGCGTTGGTCGACACGGAAAGTCCACCTAAGGAAGTTGTAAAACCCTCATTCCAAACCAAAGGTGCACATGGACTCCAGTATCCCCAAGAAACATATGGCGCATGAATCAATTGTTGGTCACCGGCTACCATAGAACTGCATCTCCTCACGATGCTCCACTGCCTTGTGAATCAGGCCTCTAGGTCAAAGGTACCGAGTGTGGGCCCCTAAGAAAACCACCTGCTTCGCTTTGGGTACCTAGGCAGTATCACAGACCACACACAGATCAAATGAGATTTGTGCGGCGCATATGTATCTGTTGCCCCTTTGTACCAATATTTATTTGTTCAAATAAATAAATAAACCAACATAATATATAATGAAGAAGATGAACTGGTCAATGAGAATTCGGATCTTCATCAACTGAGTTGATTAGGGTATATGTTCAATATCCCTTACTATTGTCTAATTAGGTGGTCATTGTTTATTGGTATAAGGAATAAATTGGAAGAAGGGTAGTCAAATGAATATACAGGGTCATTATGTGAAGTTAATGACTACTGGACTGAGCCATATTAGTATATACAAGCTACAAAGTTGAAATTACTGTAACCATTGGTTTGGTGATGCTTGATGATATGACTCAAAATTGACTCAGATTCATTCAATCCTTCAATATAAAAACTGTCTTAACCTATTATTCTTCATTGTCTCTATCTAATATTTTCTTCTATCACTAATATTGTTCCTACATCTGTGACGCTGGCATTTGTTCTAACAAATTTATCTCCCTGTTTTGATGTTGTATGGCAAGTTGACTCGATGCCAGGTTCTACTTTTTATGTCACTAACCGATATATATATATATATCAGGCAATCAGACTATTGACATAGATCCTGTAAAATGAAATTATGGATTAAAATTGAATAGAATTGAAAATCTTGAGAAACATAGAAACTAAGGAGAAGAGGGGAATGGTAAATTAAGAAGCTTTAATCAAAACTTTTGTACATGAATTTAAGGTTTATTGATCTGTATTCCTATAGCTTTTAATGTATATAAAAGCTGAACTCTAGGAGCTTAGAGAAAGTTTATTTCGGTTTCATGAATAAATTTCAAATTTGAACTGACCAGTATCAGCTAAACTCTCCAAGATAGAGCTTCTTTTTGAGATGGTGGAGAAGATTTCTAGCTAAGGTGGATAATTTTGATGGAGTTTTGTTCTCTGAGCTGGATGGTTTGGTCGTAGAGCTTTTATCATCCTTCTGAACGACATTATCAGCACAAACTTCGAGTAGAAGTTTGTAGTAGAAGTAGAATTTTGTACTGATGAAGTTTGTGCTGGTGATGACGTTCAAAAGAACGATAAAAACTCTACAACCAAACCATCCATCTCAGAGAACAAAACTCTATCAAAAAGAGCTTCTTTTTCTTTTCTTTTGATTTGTAATTAACAATAATGGTTAATTTTTTGATATACTACAACATATTTTTCTAGTTATACATAACATGATCCTCATAAATAGTCGAACTCGTAATGACACATGGATGTAGTGAGACCAGTCAGTTTACTGTTAGTTCTTAAGTGGTAGGCTAAAGAAAGGACACAATCTGATTGTGTTAAATATACATCTCATGAGTTTTCCGATAGGTTGTATCACCATATCACCAGCTAGTTCATCTCTGAACTATAATTTGAAAGAACAAAAGTTTGTTCAATCCTTCTGGTAATTTTACTTTAAGATCTGTTATGAAACTTGATGAGTGAGTATCCGTTTTTCTTCAGTACACAAATGGATTAGTTTTAGTTTGGTTTTGAAGGTGTCTTCAGATCCCGTTTTTAAAACTAAGAGTAACTCACCGCCCTTTTTTTCAAAAAAAAAAATACAAATAACACATTTTGAATGTTTCTAAGCTGTAAGTAGTGCAGAAGTTCACCATTTCATCAGATAACATTACTTACTTACTTACTTACGCCTGTTACCCCTCGTCGAGGAGCATAGGCCGCTCACTAGCATTCTCCATCCAACTCTGTCCTGAGCCTTCCTTTCCAGTTCTTTCCAGTTGCTATTCATCCTTTTCATATCGGCTTCTATTTCCCGGCGTAGTGTGTTCTTTGGCCTTCCTCTTTTCCGCTTCCCTTCACCATTCCAAGTTAGGGATTGAGTCGTGATGCACATTGGTGATTTCCTTAATGTATGTCCGATCCACTTCCAACGTCTTTTCCGAATTTCCTCTTCAGCTGGAAGCTGGTTTGTCCTCTCCCATAAAACGCTGTTGCTGATAGTATCCGGCCAATGGATGTTGAGTATTTTGCGTAGACAACTGTTTATAAATACTTGTACCTTCCTGATGATGGCCGTAGTAGTTCTCCACGTTTCAGCTCCATACAGTAGGACTGTCTTGACGTTCGTATTAAAGATTCTGACTTTGAAATTGGTTGAGAGTTGTTTTGAGTTCCATATGTTCTGCAATTGTAGAAATGCTGCCCTTGCTTTGCCAATCCTTGCCTTTACATCTGCATCCGATCCTCCTTGTTTGTCAACGATGCTCCCCAGGTACTTGAATGTTTCCACCTCTTCCAGAGTTTCGCCATCAAGTGTGATTGGGTTGGTGTTCTCCGTGTTGCATTTGAGAATCTTGCTTTTTCCTTTGTGAATGTGGAGGCCTATCGATGCGGAGGCTGCTGCTACATTTGCTGTCTTCATCTGCATTTGGTCGTGTGTATGAGAGAGGAGGGCTAGGTCATCTGCGAAGTCCAAATCATCTAATTGATTCTGAGAAGTCCATTGTATTCCGTATTTCCCTTCAGATGTCGAATTCGTCATAATCCAGTCAATCACTAGAAGGAAGAGAAATGGGGAGAGTAGACAGCATTGTCTGACTCCGGTCCTTACTGGAAATGCATCTGTCAGCTGTCCTCCATGCACCACTTTGCACTGTAGTCCATCGTATGAGTTTTGGATAATGTTGACGATCTTCTGAGGAACTCCATAGTGTCGAAGAAGTTTCCACAATGTTCTCCTATCCACGCTGTCAAACGCCTTCTCATAGTCGATGAAGTTGACGTATAGTGATGAGTTCCACTCAACTGATTGTTCAACGATGATCCGTAGTGTCGCAATCTGGTCTGTGCACGACCGATCCTTACGGAATCCAGCCTGATGATCCCTAAGTTCGGCGTCTACTGCGTCTTTCATCCGATTCAGCAGCACTCTGTTGAAAACTTTTCCTGGTACTGATAACAAACTGATGCCTCTGTAGTTCTCACATTGACTCAGATCTCCTTTCTTTGGTATCTTGATGAGATATCCTTCTTTCCAGTCCGTTGGCACTTGTTCCTCTTCCCAAATCTTTTTGAATAGAAGGTGAAGCATGTTTGCAGTTATTTCAATGTCTGACTTCAGTGCTTCTGCTGGTATATTGTCAGGTCCTGCCGCCTTCCCACTTTTGATTTGTCTGATGGCCATCTTGACTTCTTCGATCGTTGGTGGAGTGACATCTATTGGAAGGTCAGTGTGGGCTGCTTCGATGTTCGGTGGATTCGATGGGGCTGGTCTACTCAGCAGTTCCTCAAAGTATTCTGCCCATCTTTTCCTCTGTTCCTGAATCCCAGTGATTGTCTTTCCTTCTTTGTCTTTGACTGGTCTCTCTGGTTTGCTATATCTCCCTGCCAATTTCTTCGTTGTATCATATAGTTGTTTCATATTCCCTTCTCTTGCAGCTTTTTCCGCCGCCGTTGCTAGTTCTCCCATGTATTTCTGCTTGTCGGCTTTAATGCTTTTCTTCACTTCTCTGTTTGCTTCTGCGTAGTCTGCTTGTGCTTTGACTTTCTCTGCTCGTGTTCGGCTGTTGTTAATTGCTAGTCTCTTGTTCTTCCTTTCTTGAAGTTTGTCCAGGGTCCCCATAGAGATCCATTCCTTGTGATGATGCTTCTTAGGACCAAGAACCTCCTGACACGTTGAAGTTAGTGCTTCTTTTATCCCTTTCCAGTTGTCCTCCAAAGTAGTTTCTTGTTCTTTCAGTAGATCCTGTAGAGCTTGGAACCTGTTGTTGAGAGTTATCTTGAATTCATGGAGTTTGTCAGTATCTCGAAGGAAGGCTGTATTAAACCTTTGTAGTGCTGTTTGTCCAGTTGTCCAGTCTTTCTTTAGCTTCAGTCTCATCTTGGCCACAACCAGGTGGTGATCTGAAGCTATGTCAGCTCCTCTCCGGGTTCTCACATCTTCCATTGATCTTCGGAATTTTTTGTTGATACAGATGTGATCAATCTGGTTCTCTGTGGTGTGGTCCGGTGAGATCCATGTAGCTGTGTGTATGCGTTTGTGTGGAATACTCCGCCTGTAGCTCTTCTAGAGTTACTGCCGCTCCCAAGCCCGGGTAAAGGAGGAGGGTTGGGCATGGGGTTAGCGACCCCATCCCGTAGAAAAGCTAACTCGCTAAAAAAACGCTAACCAGAAAAAAATAATCAGATAACATAGTCCAATTCATTTAGGTGTACATTATTTTATTCAGCATAATACAGTAGATCTTGATCAAGAAGTTATTCAGAGTAATTGCTTACCTTAGCATTCTTTGTTGTTTTGAATATTCTACAGATAAAGATGGATAGTCACAATTGGTTGATCACTGGGTGGTGATCAATGTCATGCGTGTCAAGTCCTTCTTAGTGCTGATCGAATGTTATCGATCAAGTTGCAATGTGGCTACCAGTCTAGGTGGCTCGACACTGCGTGCACTACATATATTAAGGTAAGATGGTGGTTGGAGGTGGTCAACAGAAAACCCTGGACCCGGGTTTCGTCAGCAAGTCGCACCTGTAATATTGAGAGAACTGATGCTCCCTGGTGGATTCGATCCCATGTCACTCAGCTTCACAGTCAGAGACGTTACCACTGAGCTATTCGCCCCGCAACCGACCTCCTGTAGGACTGAGATGTAATCACAATTGATTGATCACTGGGTGGTGACTGTGAAGCTGAGTGACACGGGATCGAATCCACAAGGGAGCATCAGTCTCCTCAAGATTACAGGTGCACCTTGCTGACGAGTGCCAAGTAGCACGAAACCCGGGTCCAGGTTTTTCTGTTGACCACCACCTTACCTCAAAAGATGGATATTAGCTAGCATGGGAATTCAGGTCAAAGCACGTTTCATTCTACTTGTGATTCGTCAGCTGGATATACTTGCATCTCAGAGTTTATGTTCACTCAAGCACTCGAACCCAGTACCGTTCGCTTCAAATCCCATCGCATTATCCACTTAGCTATTGAGTCCTGATAGCCCGAATGAATTTGATCTTCACTCCATTGCACAAGCAAGTGGCTATCAGGACCGAGTAGCTAAATGGATAGAACGATAGCATGTGAAGCCAACGGTACTGCGTTCGAGTGCTGGAGTGAACATCAACTCTGAGATGCGGGTACATCCAGCTTTGCTTATAATACTTGTGAATTAAAGCAATATCGAGGCAATCTATACTGTATGAACATATATCAATAAGAAACTGATCGATTGCAGCCCTAAACATCAATGGGAAGATTCAAGAAAAACAATACCAAGTGAATTTATTCCACAGATATTTTTATATTGCAAAAATAAAAAAAATATTGAAGAAGTTTAATCATAAATGTTGAGATGGTGGAGAAGATTTGTAGCTCAGGTGAGTGATTTTGATGGGGTTTTGTTCTCTGAGCTCGATGGTTTGCTGATGATGCCATTCAGAAGGACGATGATAGCTTCACGACCAAACCATCCAGCTCAGAGAACAAAACTCCATCAAAAGACATAAATGTTCTATATAAAAACTAATTTACCTAGTTGAATTTGTGAATGTAAATCATCACTTCTTGTTGGTACTCGAGCATTCAATGTAAGTGTTTGTAAACAAACTTTCTGTTCCATATTTACCATTGCATCAATTTTTGGTTCATCAGCAAACCATATAAATTCATCTGAAAGTAGTGATATATGAAAAAAATTAAATAAAGTTGATATATGAAATGTTGCGTAAGATCATGGATTGATTAATGCTAAACATTAATATTGATGAATTGAAACTCAGTGGCATAGACGTTAAATATTCGACCATGAAACCGAAGGTCGTGGATGCTCCCAAATGCCCTGGTACAGCTGACAATGGGGAGGGGCCGCCCTTTCTCTCGAAATGCTCTCACATGGTCACGCGTATACAGCCTCTACCAGCGAAGTAATACTCACTGCTTTCTCGTGTCCAAGGTGTTGTTTACGAAATAGAGAGGACAAAAAGTGAATGCCTGGTTCTTTAACCGGGTTGGTGGACACTGAAATTCTACCTAGGGGAGTTGGAAAACCCTCATTCCCAACCAATGGTGCACATGGGCTGGCTCCAGTATCCTGAGGGAACAAATGGAGCATGAATCAATCGTTGGTGACCGGCTAACATGGGACTACATCTCCTTACGATGCTCCACTGCTTTATGGATTAAGCCTTTAGATCAAAGGCTCGGAGTGTGTGGCCCTAAGAAAAAAACAACCGGCTTCGGTTTGGACACCCGGGCAGTATCATAGCACTCACACAAATCAAATGAGATTTGTGTCGCGCATATTTATCTGTTTCCCATTTGTATCAATATTTGTGTGTTCAAATAAATAAATAAATCAGGTCCTGGATTCGAGCTACACGCTAGGGGTCGTAGATCCGCACTGCAGAAGATTTCGATACTAGATTAAAGTGGCTGTGCAGTGCTCTCAAGTTTTTAATGATGGTTGATTTTCTATAGACTGGTGATTTCAACTGTGTAAAGCTATGATGAAAAACCATTTGATTAGAAATACTACGTTCACTTTATTTATCTTGTTATACCAGATTATTGAATGGGAAATCCCTTTTAATATTATTAGGATGGGATTTTGTGGAAATTGTGTTAATTTTTATCAGTTGAATTCATGAGTCAATCGAAGCCGTTTCGTCCTATTGTGGGACTACTCAGCAGTGCGCATCCACGATCCCACCTCCCAATATTCGAACCCAGAACCTACTGGTCTGGTACGCGAACGCTCCACCTCTAGACTACTGAGCTGGCTGGCATCCAACGGTGTTAATGTCTAACTTCAACTAATCCACGAAATCGCTCCACTGTCCACCATTGTCTTCAGTGAGTTACTATCTCACAACCCCCTTCTGATTTATATTTATGTTACAGAATTAGGTTGAATGTTTAAAAGTTTACTACAAAGTTTTATGTCAATCGTCTAAGGATACAGTATTTGTCAAGAAGTAAGGTAGTTTTAGGTCTAATCATATATAGGCTTGTAAGTGTTTTCTAATAAAGAATAAAAATCTAGAATAGACAGATATGAAGTACATATCAGTTCATAATAAAATCCAAGACCAGACAGAATTCGCTGTTAATACTTCACTGATATCACAGTTATTATTTTCATTGTAGAAAATGAACAGTTGTCTACGTAAGATAGGTTGGTTACCATCAGCAACAGCCTACTTTGGGAAAGTACAAACCAAGTTCCAGCTGAAGAAGAAATTAAGGAAAGATGTTGGAAGTGGATAGGAGACATATTAAGAAAATCGTCAAACTGTCACACAAGGCAAGCGTTAACTTGGAATCCTAAAGGGAATTGGAAAAGAGAAAAGTCGAAGAACTCACTATTAATAACACTTAAAAGTTAAAATCTATTTATAAATCACCAGGTACTCGGTGTATATTGTATTCAATTCCTTGGTTTTTTCTGATATTTGAACAAGTAGGCAGCTTTAGTTTATTTCCTTATTTAATTACTTACACCTGTTAACCCTCGTAGAGGAGCACAGGCCGCCCACCAGCACTCTCCACCTAACTCTGTCCTGAGTAATCCTTTCCAGTTGCTATCCATCCTTTTCATGTCTGCTTTCCATTCCCAACGTAGTGTGTTCTTCGACCTTTCTCTTTTCCAATTGCCTTTAAGATTCCAAGTTAACGCTTGCTTCATGATACAGTTTGACGATTTCCTCAATATTTCTCCTTTCCATTTCCAACGTCTTTTCTTAATTTCCTCTTCAGCTGGAACCTGGTTTGTTCTCTCCCAGTGTAGGCTGTTACTGATGGTATCCGGACAAAGGATATTGAGTGTCATTAATAATTTTCTATAAAGACTTACCATCAGCATCTGTGTTCAAGATTTTTCTAATCCCTGGAACCATTTCTTCAAGTATATTACTTGAATTCATTATCATAAGACCTTTAATTTCAAGTTTTTGTTTCCAAAATTTAATCACTTCAATCATTTTTATTTGTACCTATAATGAATGTTTAATAAAAGGCTGTTTAAAATATTGAGAACAATGAAATACTACCTATAAGCATAGTTTAGTGAATCAGTTATAAGATCTATGAATTTTCAAAATGAAAGATAACAGCATTTTAAATTCAATTAGTATTATCAGAAGGGGGTTTTTGTGGAGATTTAGTATTTTCATAGTTGAAAGCGAGAATCAATTGAAGCTAGACCACCAGGGAAAATCTGGAAGCACCGGACGGCCGTTTTGTTCTCACGCTTTCAACTATGAAAATACTAAATCTTCACAAAATCCCCCTTCTGATAATAATAATAATCATATGCTCACTAGTGACTGACTTCGAGAGGTAAATCCAGGAGTTCTAGTGAGAAGCATTGACCAGTGGAGTTCAAACCACATCTGTTGTGATATAGGAACTCACTGAAGACAATTGATGAAGGGTTGCACAACTTCGTGGATTGGTTGAAGTTAGACATTAATGTTGGGATGATCCGGCCCAGTGGTCTATCGGTTAAGTGCTCTAGCGCGAGAATGGTAGGTCCTGGGTTCGAATCTCGCGAAGCAAAAAGTTCCACAATAGGACGAAGCGGCCGTCCAGTGCTTCCAGGTTTTCCCTGGTGGTCTAGCTTCCATTGACTCACGCTTTCAATTAGTATTGTTTGCTTGTATCTTCCTATTGATGTCTAGGATTGTAATTGATCAGTCTCTTATTGACATATGTGCATACTGTGTGGATTGCCTCAATATTGCTTGATTTCACAAGCATTATAAGCAAAAATGGATAATGACTAGTAGTGGAATCCAGGACGTGCGTAGATAAGTTGATGACACCATGACATTTTGAAATGAAAGGTACTGGGTTCGAGTGCTGGAGTGAACATCGACTCTGAGATGTAGGTACATCCAGCTGATGAGTCCCAAATAGGATGAAACACGTGTGCTGGATTCCACTGCTAGCCACCGTCCATTTTTGCTTATTACTGTATTTTGTATGGAACTTCTATATCAACCATCCACCTTATTTTATTGTGATCTGGAATAGAAGTCAACAGAAATTTTTCATCATGTCGGCCTATGAGCTGATGAAAATCAAGGAAGAATATACATCTCAATAAGTAACACAGAAAATAATCGAATGTATCAGAGACAATATAGTTGGTAAACACTGAAAACTTTACAGATAGTCTCAGCCCTAAATACTTAAGATAAGTGTATTTTAGAGGTTTTTTTCTATTTCACTGACGAATATCAACCTTGAAAAACCATAATGGGATTTGTAAACCAAACGACTCACGCATGACTTTGTAAGCTACACAATACTAGTATAGTGGACGAGGACACCAGTCAGGATAATCGACTGTATTTCAATACAGAATTACAGAACGTCTCAGCGAAATCTGATAACAATACAATAAACACTTTATTTACAAAATGTCAATTAATCGTCTCATATTTCATTGTTCCTCCTTTCCCATACCAATCATTCTTTGTTCTCATTCTCTTTTCTAAGATCTTCTTAATCTTCTGAGACTCCAGACATTTTACTTTCGATTGATGATACATACTACTTATATTTGTCGTCATCAGTAGCACAAACCATACTAGTAGTGATGAATAACAATAACATTTACTTAATTAAGGTCACTATTCATATATTCAATGTCTGAGTCACATTTTTATGCAAACATATTGTATCAAGCTATTCAGTAAAAAGAATGACCAACTCTGTATGCTTTTTCATTGTTTGGTTGGTCGAAAATCAGTAGGATTTACATCCTATATAAAACTATGAACAGAGTCAATTAAAATATTAGCAAACACCATATACATTAAATTAAATGATTTTAGAAAAGGTATTGCTGAATATAGTCTACACTTCGTCATTACGTAATCTTTTATATATATTAAGCGTTTGCTCGCGAGACTGGTAGGTCCTCGGTATGAATCTTGCGAGCCGGAATCGTGGATGCGCACTGCCACTGAGGAGTCCCAAAATAGAACGAAATGGTCGTACAGTGCTTCCAGGGTTTCAATGGTGATCTAGTTTCAATTGACTCATGATTTCAACTATATAAATTTGCTTAAGTCTCCACAAAACCTCCTTCTATGATCATTGTCAAGTATGAAAACAATGTTAAGTGATGTTGAATCGTTAACATAAGATAAAAAGTTATACAAAAAAGTACTATAACTTACATCAGGATTACTTAAATTCAATAATGGACTATTAGGATTACCATGTACATGTCGATAGTATGCACGACGAATAGAATCATAGGCATAATGTCGTTTTTGTTGATCAGTTGAAGGCTGAAAAACAATTAGCATTAATTATTATTAATCATATATCTTATCAAATTGAAAACATGAATAATATTTTAATGATTTTTGTTATGTCGAATGCTCGTTTGGACGCCCTGTTAAAATATATGACATGACGATACCGCCAATCGGAGAGCTGTGAATTATTGATCGGAGCAAGTGATACACGGAAACTGTATAAGCAGTCTAAAGTACTTATCGGCCCTGTTTTCTGCCTAGCCCAGCCGGTTAAGTCTAGAACACCAATAACAGCCTCTGAGGTATGAATCATTATATTTCAAACATAGTGAGTTTATATACCAATCAAAGAGATCACATTGTACCATAAAATAGAAAATAACATTTGTACAAGATTTGGCCAAATGTGACTGTGAATAGGGGGGGGGACAGTAATTAATAGACTGGGGCATAACTCAGGAATGATGAATCGTACAGTAATAGTCTATGGATCAAAATAAAGCTCATAATAAAGGAAAAATGAATATGAATGTAGATAAGCTTTTTAACAATTATACAATAGGAAATATACATATCATATCGGTCCATAATTAGTTCCCAAAGTTACCATTTATAATTCTCTCCGGGATCTAACATTTTTGTTCAATACCTTACAATGGACAGTTTATGAAATAGCAAATGTCATGATGAACATAGATAACGTTTATTTAATACCAACTATAAAAGATTCATATAGCCTATTGATCTTCTATTCTGTTGCATACAAATCTTAAATGATAAACATTTGCTTTAGAATTTGGATCTAGTTACTTGCTAAGTGATACTTCCATTTGATGTTAAAATTATTAACTAGCAATTAAAATATTTTATTCTGGCTAGTATACCAGAACTGCAGAACACATCACTCTTCTCTCAATACCAGGAGAAGTCTTTAACAGGGTATTGTTAAACAGAATGAAGGATTCCGTAGACTCCTAACTTCGAGACCAACAGGTTGGATTCCGTCAGGATCGATCGTGTACAGACCAAGTCACAACTCTACGAATTATTGTGGAACAATCAATTGAATGGAATTCATCATTCAACATCAACTTCATTAACTACGAGAAAGCATTTTATAGAGTGGATAGGACAACAATATGAAGGGTTCTTCGAAACTACGACGTGCCTGAGAAGATAGTCAATATCATACGGAATTTGTGTGATGGATTAAACTGCGAAATGGTTCATGGAGGACAGCTCACAGTTCAAAGTAAAGACCAGTGTCAGTTAAGGTTGCTTACTCTCATCCTTTCTCTTTCTCCTTATGATCGGCTATATCATGAAGACGTCAACATCTGGAGAGAAGCACAAGATACAATGGATAGTTAGGATGCAGCTGGACGATTTAGACTTCGCAGATGATCTGACTCTTGTATCACACACGCAACAACAAATGCAGGAGAAGACGACCAGTATAGCAGCAGCCACAGTAGCAGTATATCTCAATATACACAGCGTTCACCAATCGAATTACACTTGACGGAGTAGCTTTTGAGGATGTGAAAACCTCAACATATCTGGACATCATCGATGAACACGGTGGATCTGATGCAAATGTGAAGACGCGGATCGGCAAAGAAAGAGCAAAATATTTACAACTGAAGAACATCTGGAACTCAAAACAATTGTCAACCAACACCAAGGTTAGAATTTTTAACAAAAATGTTAAGAGAGTTCTACTGTTTGGAGCGGAAACTTGGAGAACTACGAAAGCCATCATCCAGAAGATACAGGTGTTTATTAACAGTTGTCTAAGCAAAATACTTCGGATCCGTTGGCCAGACACTATCAGCAACAAGTTACTGTGGGAGAGAACAAACCAGATTCCAGCGGGGAAAGAAGTCAAGAAGTGGATAGGGCACATATTGAGGAAATCACTCAACTGCAACACAAGACAAGCTTTCACATGGAATCCTCAAGGCCAAAGGAGAAGAGGAGGACCAAGGGACACATTGCACCGAGAAATGGAGACAGACATGAGAAGAATGAACAAACATTGGATAGAACTAGAAAGGAAAACCCAGGACAGAGTGAGTTGGAGGATACTGGTCGGCGCTCTATGCTTATTAAAGATGTCTAACTCTAGAAACAGAATTATTCCAACCATATCAACTAAGAAAACAATAAATGAATAATTTCAACTTTATTCACAACATCCATACCTACTATTGACATCTACTATCCCATTCTATTTTATAAGGGTTATTTTTGTTGTTGTTGTATATCCTCACTAATTAATCTTTTTTCCTGAATCAAAGCAAAACAACTAAGTTAGAACTTAAATTATTTATAGATAATGAATAAGATTTAACATTTGGATCATAATTTCTTTCTTTCTTTATTTAAACACATAAATATTGGTACAAAGGGGCACCAAATATATATGTGCCACACAAATCTCATTTGATTTGTGTGAGGGCTGTGATACTGCCTGGGTGCCCAAACTGAAGTAGGTGATTTTCTTAGGGGGTCGCACCCGGAGCCTTTGACCTAAAGGTCTAATCCACAAGTCAGTAGAGCATTGTGAGGAGATGCAGTCCCATATTAGCCGGTGACCAACGATTGATTCATACGCCATTTATTCCCTCAGGATACTGGAGGCAGCTCATGTTCACCATTGGTTTGGAATCAGGGTTTTCCAACTCCCCTAGGTAGAATTTCAGTGTCCACCAACCCGGTTAGAGAACCAGGCATTCACTTTTTGTCCTTTCTATTTCGTACTCAACACTTTGAACACGAGAAAGCAATGAGTATTACTTCGCTGGTAGAGACTATATACATGTGGTCATGTTAGAGCATTTCGAAAGGGAGAGCGAACTCTCCACACTCTCGGACGTATCAGGGCATTTAGGAAGTTAATCATAATTAAATTAAATCATAACTTTCATCAAAAAATGTATAAATAATAATAAACTTACTACAATATTAGTCCATATATAAAATGTACTATATACATTATTTATATTAGATTGACTTAAACGAAACCATTCATGTTTTATACTTGTTGAATATATTGATAAACCAATCATTATTTTTATATATTGATTATTATATTGTTTATTGATTAATATTTTTTTAGATTTTTTAATTATTTGTGGTAAAAAATTATTGAAACCTTCTTCAGTTGGATCAATTGATTGATTAATTGTTTCCCAATTAATAATACCATTTATATCAGAATTTATTAAATTTGTAAATAATATACTTGTAGCACCAATCTAAATGTTATAAATAAAGAAAATATAGTGAATAAGGGGGGGGGAAGGGGAGGAGAGGGGAAGGGGGGAGGAACGAAAGGGGAAAGAATACATATCATTCATATTAAAAAAAAAAATTATTTGCAATTATTTTTAAACAATAAATAGTTGCTATGTGTAATATCTAACGTAAGTATCTAGGATTTGGATATATATTGAGTTCATTTAGTTGGTGGAGAAGATATGTAGCATAAATGGAGTTTCGTTCTCTGAACTGGATGGTTTTAGTCGTAAAGGTGTACAGGACGGACAAGCTGTGAACTATATATGGAAAAATTTAAACACTTCACTTCTACTCGAAGTTTGTGTTAATGATGTCGTTTAGAAGGATGATGAAAGCTTCACGACTAAACTATTCAACTTAGAGAACAAAACTTCATCAGAGTTCATTTAGTGTATGATCAACTTATATTTACAAAAATCTTACTATAAAAAAGATAAGTATAACTAGAAATGGTCAGATAGTAGAGAGAAACAAATTATTTAGAATAGTTTATCGTATACATATTAACTTTACTCATTGGGTCCAGTGTGATCTCTTATATGTATATCAGAAACTATAAGTTCTCGAGATAACAACCTAAGTCTTTGTATTTATTCCTTCCTTCGCTGAATAAACCTTAGATGTTATCGATTCTTTATACTGCTTTATTTGTTTATTTTTCCTTAATATGTTTTTCAAATATAAGTCCTATTAGGATTCAGTAGCTGAGTGGATAACGTGATGGCGTTTGAAGCGAAAGGTATTGGGTTCGAGTCCCAGAGTGAACACCAACTCTGAGATGCAGGTACATCCAGCTGACGGGTCTCAAATAGGACGAAACGCGCGTCCTGGGTTCCACTGCTATCCACCATCCATCTTTGCTGATAATGTATGTGTCCTTAGTGGTTTATTATTTTAACACTTTTTAGTATGTAATTTTAATGAGTTCCAATACATATTATTTCAATGTTCATTTTTCCAACCCTTTGACGTACATCCAATTACAAACAATTGGTTCAAATCTTTATTATTATTCCTATTATAACTAGTGTAGTGTGTGTTACTGATGTTAACAAATATAAGTAGTATGTATCATCAATCGAAAGTAAAATGTCTGGAGTCTCAGAAGATTAAGAAGATCGAAGAAAAGAGAATGAGAACGAAGAATGATTGCTGTCGAAACAAAAGAATAATAAAGTCTGAGACGATTGACTGGTAGTTTGCAAATGAAGTATTTACTACATGGTTGACAGATTTTACTAAGACGTTCTGTAATTTTATGTTTAAATACATTTCGTTGTCCCCACTTGTGTTGTTGTTCACTACATTAGTACATCTTTCATCATATAGTGAATTTATACTTTTGCTAATTATGTTTATTTATGTTATCCAATTCATTATTATCACTGATATATAAACTAAGTTGATTGGTTTAATATTTTCATTTACCCATATGATAAAGTAAAGCCTGTTGAGGATCTAGTTGAAAATAACCTTGTTCTGTAATAGATGTTGTTCTAACTCAAAAAGTATTTGATATTAACCAATGAATCTGTCATATAAAGATGTAGCAGCATCAATGTATGTTAATGATATGACATTTGATTCGAACGTATGAAATAAAAAGTAAACTAGGGGTAAGACCCAAGATCCTGGGTTCGAATCCTGCATGCGAGATCATGGATGCATACTACTAAGGAGTCCCATACCAAGACGAAATGGCCGTCCAATTCTTTCAGGTTTTCAGTGGTGGTCTAACATCAACCGATTCATGATCTCAATCAAAAAAATAATAGGAAACAGCTGAACAAAATATATACAGAGTCATGGAATATAGGCACACGAAAAAACAAGAATTATAAGAGAAATATTGAATAGCCAATAATAATGATTAAGTGTTTTGATGTATTACGAAAGATTTGAACTTAAGAAGATGGATTTCTGTACAGACTATTATCATTTGGTGAAGCAATAAAAATTCTGCAACATTTGATATCTATTTCAGGTTAGTGTGAAATTGTAGTGATGTACATCCATATCTACTTAAATGCTTGAAAAAAAACAAACAACGGTCCTTACAGTTGATGCGTTAGTTTTAGAACTCTGTGTAGCTGGTTACGAGAAAATTTTACTGGTTACTTATATCTGATGGCATGCAACAGTAATCAACTGATGGTGTCGATGATTATCGGGTTGAAAAGAGCTAAATTAGATTGAAAGTTTGGATTATTGGACTGGAAGTTAATAATCTGAACGTAGACTTTTAAACTCAAAAAATTGAAGTTTATAGGTTTGGAAGAAGTTGAAGGCGAGTCTGCCTTAGTATGGGAACCCTCAATAGTGCACATCCATGAAACCACCAGCGATAATCGAACACCGGACATTCGGTCTCGTATGCGAATGCTTAACTTCTAGAACCCTGAATCAGGATCAAATAGTCTACAAATCTGACTTCGTGATTTCACTGAAACCTAACGACCCTTACAACCTCATATTGACAATTATCATATGCTGAATAATGACACGTTTTGAGAGGATATTGTAGGAGTTCGCTGAGAAACCATGACCAGTGGAGTTAAACTGTGTCAACTATGAGGCAGTTACCTGCCGAAGATAATTGAAGATGGTCATGAAATATCGTGGATTGATTAGAGTTAGATATAAACAACGTTAGATAATGGCTCAGTGGTCTAGCGTTTGTACGAGACTTGCGGTCAAGTTTTCGAGTTCCGAGTATAAGATCATAGGTACACATGTCTAACGACCACATTGGGATAAAATGGTTGTCCAGATCACCTAGGTTTTCAATGGTAGTCTAACCTTAAATAGTTCATGATTTTAATTCAAAAAAATATCAAAAAACAACGCAACCAAAGAAATGTTTATAAATCAGTCTTTCAGTAGGCGTCAGAAAATTTAATTTTAAAATAATCTAATTTGCAATCTATTTATTTATGACTAAAATTTAACATACTGACCCCTATATACAAGACCGTGTTTATTTTTAGATAAAACATTGAATATAAAGGGTGAGTTTTTATACCGAAATAATAATTTGCAAATAATTATTAATTGTCACACTTTTGTTCTAATCTACATTGATAGATTATGGGACTCTCCAGCAGTGAACATTCACGACTGGGCCCTCAGACGTTTACCCTCTAGATCACTGAGCCGGTATCCAATGGTATTAATGTCGAACTTCAACCAATACACGAAATCGCTCCACTAGTGAGACCGAAGGTCCCGGGTTTAATCTCCGAGCTCAAGATCGTAGATGAAGACTGTTGAGGAGTCCAAAACCTAGACGAAATGACTATCCAGTGTTACCAGGTTTTCCATGATGATCTAACTCTAATCGATTCATGAATTCATCGATTAAATTACTACAATCTCTATTAAAACCTCCTTTCTGTTAAGTATATGTTTGATAATCTGAACACAATATTGTCTTATTATTAGTGATATATCACTTAATGATTTAATAAATATATTTTTATGAATGAACTCAAAAAGAAAACTCACTGTTTAAATCTATGTCCTAAAATCTTTATCTTACAATTACTTATCTATTATCATATAAATTAGATTTACAATCTTTAAGGACAGATTTAACTATCTATGTTCAATAAACTTAAGATACACTAATCACAGTTATGTAGAGTATTACAGCATGACATAGAAATTCTATAAATGTAATGAAACAAAATACGTATAGATTAAAATACAATTGAAATAAGTTAGTTAGTCAGTCGTATATACTGGGACCACCGGGTAAGTAATACAGTTATTAGGAAACGGGTATTAGGTAAGGATGGTAAATCGATTGATGAAGTAGTGAAACTTGATCAGTTGAGATGGCTGGGACATGTGTTACGTATGCCCAACTAACCACCGACTTCCCCGACGTCCAATGTTTTATGGTGTAGGAGTAGGTTGGAAGAAAGATGTGTAGGTGTAGGCTACCTGGTTGGGATTCGCGAGATGATAGCAATCGATGGTTAGAGACATTGAATGACATAGCTCAAAATCGTTTGCAATGGCAAAAGTGAATCCACTGTTTGTGTTCTACCAAATTCTAATCTTCTGAATTTTTCATCTCTCTATATTTTTTCTCTATCCAAATTTATTTCACTGGATTATACTCCAAGAATAACATCTTCAGACCCTAGTCTTTCCGATTACTGCTCATACTCTTACTACTTCTACCACCATAGGATTTGAATCGACAACTGCATTTGTGTGCTAATGTAGTATAGCAACTCGAACTGATGTATGTACGTACGAAGTTCTACGTTGTGACTGACTGACTGAAGTCAGTCAGTTAGCTGCAACGTAGGACTAGGCACATATTTATGTATTGGTCCAAGTTTCCATACCTCATTAACACAACAAGATGAACACTGAATTCATAGAAGTGATTACTTCAGCAGCTTGCATTTAGAGGGGAAGAAAAGTAGCCAAAACATCCTAGGATTGTTACACAGTGTTACCAAAACACTCTGTATTTGATCAGCGTCTTTATCAAACAGGACTATGTCGTTTACGTATTCTAAGTCGATAAGTAGATCTTCTAGTAGAAGATTAATACCCGAAAATTCAGTCGACGACAACGTTATTTCCAGCAATAGATTTATGGTGAAATTAAACAAAAACGGAGATGGTGGTAGCCTTGTTGGACACTATTTGAATTTGCAAAGTCAGATGACAGTTCGCTATAAGTTTTGACTGGACTAGTATTATACAAGTAAAAAGCTTTTTTACAAGGTTTATGTAACAACTGAAATAAGCAATCGATTGAACAATTACACTAACTGCTATATTGTCGTTTTTGATGAAACATAAAGAACATCTTTTAGGAAAGATGTTTTACTATGTATACAGATTATTTATTCATTTATTTGAACACATAAATATTGGCACAACGTGGCACCAGATATATATAAATGCCACACAAGAAAAGATCATTTCACTTAATTATGTGAGAGCTGTGATACTGCCCAGGTGTCCAGACTGAAAAAAGGAGTTTCCCTAGGGGACCACACTCGGAGCCTTTAACCTAAAAACCTAATCCACAAGATAGTAAAGCATCGTGAGGAGATGCAGTCACATGGTAGCCAGTCACCAACAATTAATCCATACGCCATTTGTTCCCTCAGGATACTGGAGTCCATGTGCACCATTGGTTTGGAATCAAGGTATCCCAACTCCCCTACGTGGATTTTCCGTGTCCACCAACCCGGTTAAAGAGCCGGACATTCGCTTTTTGTCCTCTGAATTTCGTAAACAACACCCCATCCATAAATAACATTTAAAAAGAACCATTTTTTTTTAGTTCGAATAAAGTATTTCAATTAAGAGATCTTGAAGATTGAAAGGATTGTTCAAGACTAGAATAAGTATTCTTTGGTTTTTAGTACTTTTTAATCACCAATTTTACTGTTTAGATTATTTCAAGTCAAAAAAAAGATTGAGAGAAAAGTCAATTGATTTGTACCATTGAAATAAGATTTTGATCGGAGAAAATTATTTGTAAATTTGTAAAATAAAGTCACAAGCAATATAAACAAAGATGGATAGTGGCTAGCAGTAAAATCCAGGAGGCGCGTTTCGTCCCATTTGGAATTCGTCAGCTGGATGTACCTGCATCTTAGAGTTGATGTTCACTCTTGAACTCGAACCCACGACTATTCGCTTCAGACGCCACGACGTTAGCCATTTGGCTAATGAGTCCTGATTGCCTGATAACGCGATGGTATTTGAAGCGAACGGTCCTGAGTTCGAGTCTCAGAGTGAACATTAACTCTGAGATGTAGGTATATCCAGCTGACGAGCCCCGAATAGGACGAAACGTGCGTCAAACTGCATTCCACTACTAGCCATCAACCATCTTTTCTAATAACTTGTAATATCGGTTGTTATGTTAAGCCCATGTACTTTATTCTAGCTACTGGCCAAGCCAATTCACCTATATGAGTCATATTTTGATCTTGTTAATTATTCGCTTATTAACCTTGACTATATTTTTATATGAGCGTATATGTGTGCCCTTCGTATCCTATTCATCATATGTCTGTTATTCATTTTTCTCTGACTATAAATGTTGAGTAATGCTTGCTCATAGACAGTTGGCTTCCCAGCCACCTCCAATACGCATTAATTTTTGCTTCACTCTCGAGTTGGCTTCCCAGCCATCTCCGAAATGAGCATCATTTTGCTTCTCTCGCTTCTATTCGCTTCATCGCTCTGATTCCCTGGCCTGATCAATGAGTGTAGAAGATATTCGTATTCTCAATCCATTCTCGTATTTAATTTATTTAACTCCGTTATTCACTAACGCGGAAAAGGTCATTTATTATATACTAGGATAGACAGTACGTACGATCAAAAAGGAATCAGGTTTAAACTACTACAACCTAACTGGTTAGCCAGACATGCGAACACGCCACAACAAACTAATATATTCGTATATATCCTAATGAGTAAAGAAAATTAGATTTTCTGACGTTTCGTCACTTAGTTTAAGCCACTTCTTCAGAGAATTAATAATCAAAAATAATACAACGAAACAATTAACAAACAAAATATCAAAAATATAATTTACTTGATTCACTAAATAATCCATACGTGGTATTATATCTTGTAATCTACCAATAGTACCTTGTACATCATTTGCCCATGTTTCAATATTAATTTGATAAATATGTGTACGACGCCACCATGGTATTGCATATGGTAAATTTGGTATATTTAATTTATATGCATAAATAATTCCAATAATTATACCAATAATAATTAATGGTAATAATATACTAGTTATAATAATTAATATAATAAACATTTTTAAACTTAAACCAAATGGAGGTTGAAATTTCCTATATGTAAAAAAAAAATTAGAGGGGGGTGGGTAAAGAAAAAACAAAAAAAAAATAATTATCAGAAGGGGTGGGGGAGGATTTGTGAAGATTTTAATAATTTTAATAGTTGAATTTATAATTCACTTGACGACTATGGAAAACATGGAAGTACTGGACGGCTTTATGGTATAGAGGTTAGACGGTCTCACGTGAGAGTGATAGATCCTCGGTTCAAATCTCATGAGGTGGGATAATAAATGCTCACTGATGAGGAGTCCTATAATGGGACGAAACGGCCATCCAGTGCTTCTAGGTTTTCCGTCAGTCAATTAAAGCTAGACTACCATGGAAAATCTGGGAGCACTGAACGGCTCAGTGGTATAGAGATTAAGCGCTCGCACGTGAGACTGATAGATCCTTGATTCAAATCTCGTGAAGTGGGATCGTGGATACTCACTGATGAGGAGTCTCACAATAGGATGAAATGGCCATCCAGTGCTTCTAGGTTTTTCATGATAGTCTAGTTTCAATTGACTGATAAATTCATTCAGAAAAAGAAGATATTAAGAGCATAAAGTACTAGATAGCGATTCTATACTTACATACTTACACCTGATACATCTCGTGGAGGAGCATAGACCGATCATTAGCACTCTCCATCCAACTCTTTTTTGAGTAATCCTTTCCAGTTGCTATTTGATATGATTGATGATATGACGAGTTCACTTTACTCGGTAAACGGAACGAAAGACAATGACACAGTGACACGATAGGATATTCTAATCCATTGTCCTCGGCCTTATTACCTATACCAGAAAGTCTTGATGAGGCGTAGAGAATGTATTGTACAGGCACTCAGAAAATACGAGGTCAATGAGCACATAAATCAAGCTTATTTATATCGCTTTATCCTGGTGAAGACATAAGTACGGTCAACTCCCAGGACCTAATAATGGACAATTATTTTATATATTCTTATTGTTTAACTATTGAGTAATTAGATTGTGTATATCTATATTCATCTTATTGTAAGCTTCATTTTGATCTATGAATTATTATTATACGATTTACTTCCCTTAAATTATACTCAGTTTATTGATCACTGTCTCCCACGTTCACAGCCACATTTCGCTTGATCCTGTACAAATATTATTTTTTATTATATGGTGTGATGCACTCTGTCTGTCTGGTATATAAACCGAGTATGCTTCAAATAAATGATTCGCATAGCAGAAGCTGTAATTGGTTTTCTGGACTCAATTGGAAGGGGCTAGGCGGACAAGGGATCAATAAGGGTTCTAGACAGCTCATACCGGTCGAAGTCATTGGTTAGCACAGTGCTAAGATTGAAAAAGTCGTATTCCTATTGGTGGATAAATCACGTGATAAAAAACCGGACATAAAATCACAAGGAATTGGCATTACGGCTTATTTTTTATAAATTCATAACATATACAATGATAGAAACGCCCTTGGGAGAGCCACAAAATAGCGTACTAAAACAATCCGTCAACCAATGACAGTCAAGGAATTTCGAGTAGGAAATGTAAGCTGTAAGTCAACTAAGCGTTTCTTGGCGCAAAAACATAAAATTCAAAATTAGGACCTTTTCCAAGTGAATTCTGGGGATCCAACGTCTCCAACACTATCCATTCTTTTGATATCTGCCTCCGATACCTGACTCAATGTATTCCTCGGTGTTCCTCTTTTCCTTTCAACTTCAGGATTTCAAGTTAGCGTTTGCCTCGTGATGCAGTTTGATAAATTTCGTAATATACTTTTATCCAGTTCCAACGTCTTTTCCTAATTTCCTCTTCACTTTGAAGTTGATTTGTTCTCTCTTACAGTAGGTTGTTGTTGATGGTATCTAGCAAACGGATATTCAGTTTCTTACTTAGACAATTGTTTATAAATACTTGTACACTTTTGTTGATGACTGCTGTAATTCTTCAAGTTTCAGCTACGTACAGTAGAATAGTGTTGACGTTCGTATTGAAAAATCTGACTTTGATATTGGTTGGCAACTGTTTCAATTTGCATATGTTCTCAAACTGTAGGAATGCTGTTCTTGCTTCGCCAATACTCTTTTATATGTCTGCATCTGATCCTCCTTGTTTATTCATTATGCTCGCCATGTGAGTAATTGTTTCCACCTCTTCTACAGGTTTTCATCAAGTATGACTTGGATGGTGTTCTCTGTGTTGTATTTGAGGATCTTTATTATTCCCTTGTGTTTGTCGAGACTTACTGATGCCACACTAGTTGTCTTCCTTTGTATTTGTTGATGTTTATGGGATAGAAGGACAAAGTCATCTGTGAAGTCCAAATCAATGGTGGTCATTGTTTCTTAAATTCATAGTGGTTACTTGAAAATTGCAGATCGGTTTGTTTACATAAAGTTCTTAAACCAACTATTTTCAGTTATTTTTAATTAGTTAAGCTCAGTAAATTTTAGGTACAGTCATCACTCTGATCTTCGACATGTAACAGATTATACATTAGCTGTCATTCTAAATACGTAGAGACTGTATTTCGAGAAGTATTGGTCGAAAAGCTAACTAAAATGGGAACTGTTTCTTTCACTTAACAATTTAGTTATGATGGAATGTACAATAAGGAGGCCTGTTGTCCTATTTGCCACAATGTTCGGACATTAAAAGTTTCTACATGTAGTTTAAAGTGTGGTTTCAGGAGACCAGGAATAACGTTCCGTGTACTTGAATCGTTTGCCCTAACAGTGCGAGGTGATGAAATGACAGAGGAAGGGCTAGTCGTGGGGATTATAGAGTTATTAGGTGTAGGAAGGATTTGAAAGTGACTAACTTCGTCTCGTGTGCAGTTACCGGTATGAGGGCTAATATCACTTCCCGGCTGCCCACACCATGGAATGGTATTTCTTGAGGGACCTGAAAAGGAAGTTGGATTAGTGTTGGTCTTAACGACCTGGGAGCGTGACTGCAGTGCCCAAGGGACAATTGCTTGAGGCCCGTCACGCACGGCCTATTAATGTCATATCTAGTCGAAGAATTCTTATTGTATAACTATTAAGTAACTACAATACATAAATATTCATATTCCTTTTATTATAAGCTTCCATCTGATCTATTAACTACTATTATTAGTTACAGTCTCTCACAATCACAGTCACATTTTGTTATGATATGGTCTGGTTTGTTTGTATATAAACCCAGTATATTTGAAATATATGATTCATATAGCAGAGGTTGATATATTGATGTTCTAGTCTGAACCAGCTGGACTACGAGAGAGATTACTATCTCGGAGGACCAATCGGAACTCTAGGTTGCTCGTACTTGTGTTTATGCGTCATTAGTCTAATCGTATAAGTCAATGTCTCTAATTGGTGATATATATTAACAAGTCACATGACACAACGATTGACATATATACTTTCTGAGTAAATGACTAAGATAATCATATTTAGTCACAAGTTTTTTTGTAATATATTTTATTAAAGCTACATTGTGAGTAGTATCGTTTAGTCACTATAGCAACAATTCATTATTGATTTATAAATATCAATAAAAACTTTAATGAATTATAATCATTAACATTAAAACAATATCAGAGGTGGGGTTTTGTAGATATTATACTCATTACAATAGTTGAGATCATAAGTCAATTGGAACTAGATCACTATGGATGCTAGCCAGCTCAGTAGTATAGAAGTTAAGCGTTCTCACGTCAAACTAATAGATCCTGAATTCAAATCTCACGAGGGTGGGATCATGGATAATCACTGTTTGAAGAATCCCACAATAAGATGAAACATTCATCCAGTAGTTCTAGATTTTCCATGACAGTCTAGCTTCAATTAACTCATGATCTCAACAATTGAAATGAAAATAATATTTAAAAAGAATAAAATAATCATTTACTTTTGATTCTTTTTATCTAATATAGATTTTTTTAATAAAGCTGATTTATTTAATACAGCTCCATCATCCATAACTACATTATATTTTTGAACAAATCCAATTAATTCTGGTTCCATATCATTATTATAATAATAATCATTCAAATTTGAACGATAAATCTTATCCACATGTTCATTATTTATATTAGTAGTATATCCATTTACAGTATCATTTCTCGTTCTGTCTGTATTACTATAATCATCCTCATTAATATCTCTTGAATAATCTAAGTTTTGACATGTAATAGACATTACACAACTTGTATGTTATCAAATGGATGTATTGTATAATATATATGTAGGTATAGAAATGGTTTAATTGAATGACTTTAATACTTTATTCTGATTGGTTAATTTATTTATTATATACTTATCAAGGTCTGCCCGTTACTATAACTACAAAGGTTATGAGAAAAAATTTAAAAAAAACACACAACTGTTTATTGACTAATTACCCTTTAAGAAGAAAAAAAAAGGATGATCGATAATGAGTCATGTCTGTAAATTAAGAAAATAGAGGTCAATTATTGATTAATGTTTTATAAATAAAAACAAAATAAATATTAATTGAAATCATGAGTCATTTGAAGCTAGATCATCATGAAAAACCTGGAAGCACTGTTTGATGGCCGTTTCATCCTATTGTGGGACTACTCAACAGTGCGCATCCACGATCCCTCACTCGCGAGATTCGAATCCAGGACCTACCAGTCTCGCGCCAGAACATTTAACCGGTAGACCACTGAGAAGACTTCCGATGAGGGTTATGTCTAACTCCGACCAATCCACGAAGTTGAACAACCGTTCATCAATTGTCTTCAGTGAGTTTCTATCTCACAACAGAAGTGGTTTGAACTTCACTGATCACTGCTACTCACTAGAACTCCTGGATTTACTTCTCGAAGTCAGTCACAAGTGAAAATACTAAATCTCCACAAAAACCCCTTCTGATAATAATCAAATATGTATTAGTATGGAACAATTGACTTAAGTGAATATAAAGGATTTGAATGACAAAAAGTTTTGAGATGGTGGAGAAGATTTGTAGTTCAGGTGAATAATTTTGATGGAGTTTTGTTCTCTGAACTGGATGGTTTGGTCGTGGAGCTTTTATCATTCTTCTAATAAGGTCAACAAGAACTAATCAATCTCGGAGTGTACAGAACAAGTTGTGAAACACATGTGAAGAAATTCGGACACTTCATTTTTTTTACCTGAAGTTTGTGCTGATGATATCGTTTAGAAAGACGATGAAAGCTCCACAACCAAACCATCTAGCTCAGAGAACAAAACTCTACCAAAATGACAAAAAGTTATCAATGATACGTTTCAAAGGAGATGAAATAACGAGAATTAATTCCTCATTGGAAGTGATCTACTCAGAAGCAAAAATAACGATGATATGAGAAATGAACTGCTCATTCAAACAAACTAAAATTAACAAGTTGTCTTTTCTCGGTAGCTCCAACTACATATACCAATTTACATGTACATAATAGCCCTCCTATGTCATGCACATGAACAAATACAGACGAAGACAACAAATATAGCTGTAGCCTCTGCATCAATAGGCCTCAACATACACAAAGGTAAACGCAAGATTCTCAAATATAACACGGAGAACACCAACACAATCACACTTGATGGAGAATCTCTGGAAGATGTGAAAACATTCAAGTAACTGAAAAGCATCATTGATGAACAAGTAGGATCTGATGCAGATGTAAACATGAAGATTGGTAAAGCAAAGACCACATTTCTACAATTGAAGAAAATATGGAACTCGTAACAACTATCAACTAATTTCAAAGTGAGAATCTTCAACACGAACGTGAAGACAGTCAGTTATACTGTATGGAGCTGAAACGTGGAGAACTACTAAATCCATCGTCAAGAAGGTACAAGTATTTATAAACAGTCGTTTACGCAAAATACTCAACATTCACTGGTCAGATACTATCAGCAACAGCGTTTTATGGGAGAGGACAAACCAGCTTCCAGCTGAAGAGGAAATTAGGAGAAGACGTTGGAAATGGATCGAGCATACATTAAGGAAATCATCAATGTGCATCACTAGGCAAGACCTAACTTGGGATGGCGAAGGTAAGCGGAAAAGAGGAAGGTCAAAGAACACATTACATCGGGAAATAGAAGCAGATATGAAAAAGGATGAACAACAACTGGAAAGAACCGGAAAGAATTGACCAGGACAGAGGTGGATGAAGAATGTTGGTGCGCGGCCTATGCTCCTCCACGAAGGGTAATAGGAGTAAGTAATGTACGTGCCAAAGCACATACATTGAAAGAACCGAGAGAAGAATACATGTTGGTATTTCTGAGCGTTTTCTAATGAAATTGAGGCTGCGTGGGATCAGGACTCTCAACAATGCGATACCTCAGTATTTACTTGACACCGGGCATACCATTGACATTTCTCATGCTTTCAAAATTATTAACAAACAAAAAAGTACAGTTGCTCTCGATAAGAAAACTTAAACCGGATCTATGTATTCAAGAAAAGACAGTAATAAACTTATTACTACCCTGGTAATCCAACTGTTTTTGTGTTTGGTTATGAGTTCTATTTTGCTAATATTTAGTTTTTTATTATATTCGTCTCCTATTACTGAATTCTTAAACCATCCTTTCACTCACACATTTCCGCCCACTTGATTCTCTTAACTTATATGAACTCTTCAAATTCTATTTAATTATAACGTGACCCGTTTTGTCCGTTTTTGATTCCATGGTTCTTTTATTACATCTAAAACTATCACACAATTTATCTTATCCGTTTCTGAACACCACTCAACTATTACACCACTCATCCTTATTGTTTCCTTGATTCGAACACCTAATAACCTCTAACCTGTCAACTGAAGCTAGAACATCATGGGAAACCTGGAAGCATCGGATGGCCGTTTCGTCCTATTGTGGGACTCCTCAGCGGTGCGCATACACGACTTCAACTCGCGAGATTCGAACCTAGGATCTATCAGTCTCGCGCCAGAGCACTTAATCAGAAGATCACTGAGCCATCAGCCACAATAGGACGAAACGGCCGTCCGATATTTCCTGGTTTTCCTTGGTGGTCTAGCTTCAACTGATTCGTGCTTTGAACTATGAAAATACTTTATTTGTAAAATATTCATCAATTGTTTCAGATTATGTTGTTTCTTCGTTTCCATATTAATCATTTTCTGCTTTTTGTTCTTTTCTCTTCGATTTTCTTAGCTTTTCTTTGCCGTCAGGTATTCCATTTTCGATAGATGATATATACTACTTATATCTGTCAGTATCAGTATAATATATCTTAATTTATTTATTATTATTTATACACATAAATATTGGTACAAAAAGCACCAGATAAATATGCGCTTCACAAATCTCATTTGATTTGTGTGAGGGTTGTGATACTGCCCAGGTGCCCAGACTGAAGCAGGTGGTTTTCTTAAGGGGCCACATCCGGAGCCTTTGACCTAATGGTCTGATCCACAAGGCAGTAGAGCATCGTAAGGACATGCAGTCCCATGGTAGCCGGTGACCAACAGTTGGTTCATACGCCATTCGTCCCATCAGGATCCTGGAGCCCATGTGCACCATTGGTTTGGAATCAGGGTTTTACAACTCCCCTAGATGGATCCTCCACATCCACCTACCCGATTAAAGCGCCAAACATTCGCCTTTCGTCCTCTCACTTTTGTGAACAACACCCCCACCACGAGAAGGCAGTGAGTAGGACTTGTGTGACAGAGGCTGTATACGCGTGGCTATGTGAGAGCATTTTGGGGGCATATATCATAATAGTAGTTCATAGATAGTTATGTGGAATCTATTAGTTTAGAGTTGATCATTGACAGTGCCATGAGTAGTTTTGAGAGTAACACTAATATGTGATATTTAATTGGTGTCCATATGATACGAATCAACTTAATTTTCTACTATAGATCATCAGAATATGACTGAACATAGTATAGTGGATTTGTAGAAATCGTTACGTTATTATAGTCTTACATTCCGGATTAAACTTAGCTAGACTACCACCCACGGATTATTATCATACGAATTATTGTCCCTAGATTATATTCAGTTTATTCATTATTGTATCCCATGTTCACAGCTACATTTGGCTTGATCTTGTGCAAATATTATTTTCTATTTTATGGTGTAATGCGCTGTGTCTGTCTGTCTGTTATATAAACCGAGTGTGCTAGAAATAGGTAATCCCGATAACAGAAGCTGTAATTGGTGTTCTGGATTCAATTGGAAGGGCTAGATGAACAAGGGATCAATTAGGGCTCTAGACCAGTCATACGGGTCGAATGCTGTTTTATATTCACACCTCTGCTCGTGCTTTTATTGGTGTATCGGTGGCCAATAATAACTTAGGGCATCCTATCTTTGGGTCAAGATATAGGTAGTTCAAACATTCGACCCACACTTCTGACCACATTGAAACATATCTGTCATAATTCTAACAGTCGTTTACGAAGCACAAGCTGCCTAATTTATGATCCAATGCTTTCTACTTCTACCTTTTCAGGAATTGCTTCTTTGTCTTCTACCCTACGTTTGGTATTTACGTAGAGGTCGTCTAAAAGTCAAATATATGTGGTGACCTTCTTTTTTCGACAAGGACGCGATTGGTATAATAGAAACAATTAGTATTATAACCCATTGTACCAGTGATTGTTTTATCGTACTCTTTGTTGTTTAACTGTATCAAATTAACTTTTCGTTCGGTCGTGATAATACTGAAATATCTAATCTTGAAGACATAATCTAGGACGACGTACAATGGTTCTCATATCTCCAGTCAAACAGTTTGAAACTTTCAAATACTCCTATATATAATAGAATATGTAGTATCAGTTTATTTGTTAAGCCCATATACTTTATCCTAGCTACTGGCCAAGCCAATTCGCCTGTCATGAGTCATATTTTGATCTTGTTCATTATTCGCTTATTAACCTTGGCTATACTTTTATATGAGCATATATATGTACACTTCGTATCTTATTCATCATATGTCTGTCACTCATTTTTGTCCGACTATAAATGTTGATTAACGCTTGCTTAAATCGAGTTGGCTTCCCAGCCATCTCCAATACGCATCACCTTTCGCCTCGCTCTCGAGTTGGCTTCCCAGCCATCTCCACTGCATGTTATTTCCACCTCGTTCACTTCCTTCACTTATTCACCTGTTCACTCACTCGTTATTATTCACTCAGGTGTTGCTAACTTTCTGACCTGAGTTATTCGACAATAAACTGTAGTTGATGCTATCCTTTGTCTTCTGATTTTACGCGCCGTTAATATTAGAATTATATCGGTTATTGAAACGAACGATTAACGAATCGCGGCACTACAAATACATCATGAT